TACTATGACTCTGTAGTATAATTTGAAGTCAGGTATGGTGATGTCTCCAGCATTTGCTCAGACTTGCTTTGGCTATTCAGGCTCTTTTGTGCTTCTACACAAATCTATAGGATTTTTTTGTTTTTTTAGCTCTGTGTAGAATGACATTGGATTTTGGTGGGATTGCATTGAATCTGTAGATTGCTTTTGCTAATAAGGCCATTTTCACAATATTAATTCTGTTGATCCATGAACATGGAGGTCTTTCCATCTTCTAGTGTCTTCTTCTGTTTCTTTCATTGGTGTTCTATAGTGTTCGTTGGAGAGGTTTTCACCTCCTTTGTTAGGTTTATGTCTAGGTATTTTGTTTATATTTATTTATTTATTGTGAGGCTGTTGTGAATTCTTTTCCTGATTTCTTTCTCAACCTGTTTATTATTGGAATCTAGAAAAGCTACTGATTTTTGAATGTCGATTTTGTAACCTGCTAATTTGCTGCAAGTATTTATCAAGTCTAAGAGTTTTCTGGTGAGTCTTTCAGGGTATTTTAAATAGGGAATCATATTACTTCCAAATAGGGATAACTTGACTTCTTCCCTTTCTCTGTGTGTCTTTTCTTTCTTTCTTCTGCCTTGTTGCTCAGGCTAGGTATTTAGGTGTGATACTGAATAAGAGTGGGGAGCACGGACACACTTGTGGAGGAAATGCTTTCAAGTCTTCACCATTCAGCGTGATGCTAGTTATGGGTTTGTCATATATAACCCCAAAATTAGTTTTTAAAAAGACTAATTAAATTGATAACACTTATCTATTGTGATCAGGAAAAACAAACAAGCAAACAAACATCATATTCTTAACAAAAAGAAATAAAACAAAATTGAGTAAACACAAATTATAACATCGTAAATAAAGGCAAGAACATCCTTACGGATTTTGCAGGCATTTGGCAATAACAAGAGAATATTATGTCAATTATATTCCCCCAAATTTGACAGCTTAGATGAAATTGGTAAGTTTATTAGAAAAGTACCTTGTCAGAACTGATATAAAATACATAGAAACTCAAATTAAAAATATTGAAGTCATAATTTAAAACCTGCACCAACACCTCCAGGACTGTATGGTTTTACTGGTGAAAAATATCAATTATTTAATGACAAAAAATACCAGTATCACACAAACTTTGGCAGAATGTATGAAGGAGGACTCTTCTTGACTTAGGAAATGAGCCCTGCATAATTTTATTACTTGAGAGGGTAAGAGGAAATCACAGACCAATGCCCCTCCGAAATGTAGATACCAATAAAATATGAGTTAATAAACCCCCACAATACTTAAAAAGGGTAATACATCATGATAAAGCATGGTTTAACATTCAAAACTAGTATTACAGGCTGGGCATGGTGGCCCACTCCTGTAATCCCAACACTAGGTAGGCTGAGGAAGGAGGATCATAAGTTTGAGGCCAGCCTGAGTTACATAGGGAGACCCTGTCTCAAAGAAACAACAACAATAACAAAAATGCTCCAAAACAATCTGTGGAGTTCAACACATTAACAGAATAAAAGAGAAAACTCGTATCTATCTCAATAAATGTAGGAAAAGCATTGGTATTTAAAAGAATTAAATACCAATTCATGGTGAAAGCTTCAGCCCATTAAAAACAGAAGGGAACTTCTCCAGTCTGATAAAAGACATTTCTGGAAAGCCTACAGCTACAATTACACTTAATGGTGACATGAGGTACAGCGGAACAAAGGAAGGACGTCTGTCCTCAGCAATTCTGTTCAGCACATTGCTGGCAAGAGAAAAGAACAAAAATGGAAGGCATACAGACAAGAAAAAAGAAGTCAAACTGTCTTTATCCATGAGTGACATTTCTACACAGAAAAATAAGGGAATCTATAAACCAAATCCCCACTAGAATTAATGTTGAAGTAAGCAAGGTAGCAAGATACAAGGTCAGTGTATTTACTAACCCACTGGAAAAGGATATAGGTAATATTTTGGCTGTACTGAGGTTTGAACTCAAAGCCTCATGCTTGCTAGGCAGGAACTCTACCTCTTGAGCCACTCTGCCAGCCCAGTTTTTGTGTTGGATATTTTTGAGATAGGGTCTCAAGAACTATTTCCCCGGGCTGGCTTCGAACTGCAATCCTCCTGATCTGTCTCCTGAGTAGCTAGGATTACAGGCGTGAGCCACTGGTGCCAGCTGGAAGAGGATATTTTAAAAATGCCATACACATTACCATAACATTCAAGAATAAACGTAAGGAAGGAAAAGCAAGCTCTTTCTACTGAAATCTACAACACATTCTGGAGAGAAATTAAAGACCTAACTAAAACAGAGAACCGAACTGTGTCATGCTCTTGGCTCGTAAAACTCAACTTTGTCGAGACATCAGTTTTCCCCCAATTTGTCTACAGATTCAGTGCAATTCCAATCAACACAAGGATTTTCTCTATATGAATAAATAAGCTGGTCCCTAAAATTTATATGGAAGTACAAAAGAACTAGGAAAAAAATGAAACATCCTTGTAACATAAGAACAAAGTTGAAAGACTACTTGCTTTCCAAGTGACCACGAAGCTACAGTGGTCGTGCTGGGTGCTGGTGGCTCACGCCTGTAATCCTAGCTACTCAGGAGGATCATGGTTGGAAGTGGTAAGTAGCTCGTGAGATCCTATCTCAAAAAAATCCTTCACAAATAAAAAAGGACTGGTGGAGTGGCTAAAGGTGTAGGCCCTGAGTTCAAACCCCAGTACCACAAAAAAAGAAAAAAAAAAAAAGCTACAGTTGTTCATCAGGGTGGGATTGACAAGTCAATGGGAGAGATGAGGTCCCATGCATCAAGTCAGTTGATTTGGACAAAGTTGGCAGGACAGTGACCATTTAGCAAATAGTGCTTGAGCTATTTATTTGTCAAACTTAAAATGAGCTTATATACCTAACTTGATATGAATCAAAGACCTGAAGCTAAAGGCTGCAACTATAAAACTCCTGAAAAAAACACAGGCGACTCTTTGTGACCCTGGGGTAGATTCAACAGGTTACAAAAAACACTAACCATAAAAGAGAAAAAAATGAAGAATTGATCTTTGTCAAAATTAAAAACTGTGATTTGAAAGATATCAGTAAGAAAACAGAAAGGCAAACCTAAGAATGGGAGAAAATATTCAAAATATTTTGTATGTCTGGCAAGAAAAGAATTGTTCTGAGAATGTGTCAACTCTTACAGTGCAGAAAGGGCAAGACAAAAACTTGAGGAAAAATGACAAAGGACTCAAACAGACATCACACACACACAATTCATAGGAGTAGCCACCAGCACACTGTAAACGTGATGACATAAACAGTCACAAGAAAATGCAATTGAAAGTACAGGGTCCCAGTTCATGTCTACCGAACGCCACCGTCAGAAGGACTGATGGGGCGTTGCTGGGATGTGCTGCAATTTGAACTCTCAGATGTAGCTGTGGGAGCATCGCACTGTGCCACTATGCTCTCACATGGAAAAGCCCTCGGCAGTTTCTTATAAAGCTAAGCGTGCTGTCACCTTAATTCCCACAGCATTCAACTCTAGGTGTTTTTCCAAGGGAAATGGAGACATACATCCTCCAAGATACTTGTTCAAGAATAATAGCAGCTTTATTCATAATAGCACAAAATTGGTCCAAATATCCACCAAGAAGGGAATGCGTAAATACATGTGGCGTGTTCATACCATGAGCCCTATTCAGCAAGAACCCCAGACTCCAGACACAGGCGACAGAATGAATGAGTGTCAAGCACTTAGGCGCAGCAGAACGAAGTATACAGACCATATTCAATTTGCACGAAGGTCTAGAACAGGCAGGAAGGAGCTTTGGTGACAGAAATAATCAGGTTACTGGTTGTGTGGGTTGGGGGTGGGAGCTGACAGCAGGGGGCCATGGAGGAATAGCTGTGTGTCCAGGCTGTGGTAGGTACAAGAGTGTGTGTTTTGTCAAATCCCTTACACTGGACTATATGCAGCCACACATGGCAAAATGATGTTTCAGTGAACGATGGATCACATACGTGGTAGTGGTCCCATAAGATTGTATCACCCAGTGACGCCATCGCCTTCTTAGTTTGCGTGATGTTCACGCAATGCTGAAATCACCTAACGGCGCATTGCTCAGAGTGCATCCGGCACTAAGATCATGACTGCACTTGAAATCTGTGCTTTTATTGCATGCAAATTACACTTCAATAAACTTGATTTCTTAACAAAAATCATCACAATGCCCTTCTTTGTTCAATGGCCAGAGACCCCTGCCTCACCACCACACACAACTGACCACATTTTCACTGGGCTGAAAAAAACGTCCATAGGTTACCTGACTCCTCTCTTGTTACAGCACTTAATTCTGGATAGAGGAACATGCTTTCTATTCTTCAAAGCAAACAAGCAATCAAAATGAAAAAGCAAAAACAAAAAACCATGTATAAAATCCTTCTTTGAGCTGGGCACCGGGCTCACGCCTGTAATCCTAGCTACTCAGGAGGCAGAGATCAGGTGGATCGCGGTTCAAAGCCAGCTGGGGCAAATAGTTTGTGAGACCTTATCTCGGAGAAACCCTTCACCAAAAAAGGACTGGTGAAGTGGCTCACGGTGTAGGCCCTGAGTTCAAATCCCAGTACTGAAAAAAAATACCTCCTCTGATAACATGCTCTAGATAATTCTTTCACATCTAACTTAAATCTCTTGCTCTGTTTTGTACTGATCTTTCCTTCTGCTCTTTGGTAAATCAGGGCATTGAAACTCTCCAGGGCTGGACGTGAATTTCTCTTCTGATGGTACGATGCTATCTTTTTGGGCACTTTGCAAGCACAGGTGGTTTGGAACAGCTTGCAGTGCAGTTGTTCTGTGGTGTTCTCTGTGGTCCTGGCCAGTGACATCTTTGCAGTTCTTGAAGAATTTGCTGGATGGTGGTCCACTTGAGTTCTCGTGGGTGCCTCGAGCACACTGACCGCCTCTCCTTTTCTTCCTCCACAGGAAATGCTGAAGGATGAGGTGCGGACGCTCACATACCGGAACTCCATGTACCACAACAAGCACGTGTTCAAGGACAAAGTGGTGCTGGATGTTGGGAGTGGGACTGGCATCCTGTCCATGTTTGCTGCCAAAGCGGGTGCCAAGAAGGTGTTTGGGTGAGCATGCATGTCTGCCCTCACACTGGCCTCTGCAGAGCCAGCCCTGCCCTCCTCTGCCTTCTCTCGCCTTTCCTACAAGTACCCACCCTGGCTCATTTCACTCTCTCTTATAAAACTTCTATTGTTAAATTTTGGGCAGTACTGGGGTTTGAATTCAGGACTTTGTGTTTGCTAGGCAGGTGCTCTACCACTTGAGCCATGTCTCCAGCCCTCCTCTCTCCTTGTCTCTTTTTTCTTTCCTTTCCTTTCCCTTTCTCTTCTTTTTTTTTTTTTTTTTTTTTGCTGTGCTAGGGTTGAACCTAGAGTCTTATGCATGCTAGGCAAGTGCTCTATCTCTGAGCCTCACCCCAGCCTCTGGTCCATCTTTTTTCCTGGAGCCACACTTTTGAGGAAGAAGAAAAATTCATGTGCAGTGTAGCTGCAGACACGAGCTCAGTTTTGAAGCTCTGCTGTTCATTCACTAGATGTGTGACGTTGGCTCATTCCCTACTTGGTTTCTCCATCTATAAAATGGGCATAATAACAGCACCTTTCCCATAGAGAGACTGTAGGGGTCAGAAAGCAGAACACACTTGGAACACTGATGCCCTGTGTGCGTTATCATGGTTGATGTGAAGCCTCAGCAGAGGTCAGGACAGTGTCCTGTTTTCTTTTTTTTGTTCCTTTTAAAGGCAAATTGGTAGATTGAAATCCTGCTGCTTTGGTGGTCGCAGCTGTCCAGGCTGGAGGTGGAGGCTGACTTTCTGGGAGCCTCCAAGACTCCTGGTTGTCAGTAGGCAGTCCACAGAGAAAGAACTGGAAAGAAACTATGGGAAGAGGTCTGAGCTGCTGGCTGACATTTGACAAGCAGTGAGGGCTGGAAAATGGGAATTAATTTTTGCCAAAATGAAAGCTAAGCCCAATTAGATTCTAGCTTGCATGAGAGCCAGCCCAGCAGGAGAGAACCCTCAACTCCCAGGCAAACTGAGCGGCTGTCAGTGGTCCTTGTTCTCTCTGAAGTTAGCTGGAGCACCCTGTAGCCTGCTCTGAGGAACCCCAGGCTCCTGGGCTGACTAGAGCCCTTGGCCACCCTTGCCCCAGAGACTTGCCCCAAGATTCCTGGCAGGGACAGCATTCCCCCCTGTGCCTCACTGGGAATGCACTAGACTGTGCCTTTATAGTCTCCTAGAAGCCAGGGGTGTCCTCAGGGTGCCTGGAGGTGCAACCTTGGCCAGGAGCAGCTGTGAGCACTCAGCCAGGCATGTGTGGGTGGGTGGCTCAGTGGAGCCCCAGGGAGAGTTCGGTGGTCATCAGTATTATCACTGTTACTGCGTGATCCCATCCTACCTCTAGGCTTCCTTCTGTAGGACTTCCTCACCAGGGTGGAGGCTTAGAGGCTTGGAGACTCAGAGGCTTAGGCAAGGCACTGACACAACTCATAGCAAGGTCATTGGCATCTGTGATCTCAAATGCTGATCCTCCCAGGATCAACCTGGCTAGGGGACGGGGATGAGCAGGGAAAGGCGGCATACTGTCCCTGGCTCGCAAGTCCCAGGGGCTCCAGCCAAGGAGCTGTCAGGGCTCCTGCTAGGCGCCTTCCAGCTGTGGTGACTTGGCATCTGTCCATCTCCTGCTCTGCTCTGCAACAGCTCTTTTATAAATGGCTCTGCCACATTTAGCCTTGTTCTTTCCCAATGGCTCGTTTCAGTTTCTCCTGTTCCAGAGCCCCCTTCCACCCACTGCTCCCCTCCAGTGAGGGAGATAGGATGGGGGGGGGAGCAGGCCATTGCCAGGGATAGAAAATGGAGGTAGAAACAGAGAAGGAGACAGACATGAGGAGAGAGATGGAGAGAGACAGAAAGCTAGCAAGACCCAGAAAAAAGCTAGAGAAATAGGAAGGGGATCAAAACAAAAAGAAAAAAGGAAATGAAAGAAATGGCTGGGTGTGGTGGTTCATGCCTATAATCCCAGGTACTTGGGAGGCAGAGATCAGGAGGATCTCAGTTTGAGGACAACCCATGCAAAAAGTTAGCTAGATTACCCCCAACACACACACCTATCTCAACAAATAAACCAAGCATGGTGATGCATGCCTGTTTCCCAGCTGTGAGGGAGGCAGAGGTAGGAGGATGGCAGTCCAAGGCTGGCCCAGGACAAAAATGTGATCACTTACCTGAAAAATAACTAAAGCAAAAAGGGCTGGGGGCATGGTTCAAGTGGTAGAATGCCTGCCTAGCAAGTGTGAGGCCCTGAGTTCAAATTTCAGTATCACCACATAGAAAAAAGATGAAAGATTTGTTTGGGCTCACAGTTTTGGAGGTTTTAGACCATAGTTGATTGGTTCCATTGTTTTGGGCTTGTGGCAAGGAAGCATATCACGGTGGGAGCATACAGCAGAGGAAGGCTTCCCTTCATGGCTGGAAGTGAAAGAGAGGAAGAGGCGGGCCTGGGGTCCCACTATCTCCTTCAAGAGCATACCTCCAATGGCAGGAAGACCTCCCATTTGTCCTCCCCACCTCTTCAGGGTCCAACCAGCTTCCAACAGTGCCACAGGCTAGCAACACATAGGCCTTTGTGGGACATTTATCCAAATCATAGCAAGGGTGGAGAACTAACGTGTGTGTGTGTGTGTGTGTGTGTGTGTGTGTGTGTGTGTGGTGGGGGGAGGATCTTAAGACCAGCCCTAAGGTCCTGACCTGGCATTTTCCAGATGGTCCCTGTGAAGGAATTTGCTCAGTTCACCCTGGGAGGCTTAGCAGGGGGAATGAGGAGGGAGGTGCACAGCAATTCTGGCCTGGCCCTGCCTCTCATGCCCTCCCCTGAGCTCAATGGCTGTGCTGCCTCCTCCTGCTTTCCTCTGATTAGGAGGGTGAGGCCTGGAGGCTCTTCCTGAATCGTCAGCACACAGATGGGCCCCTCCAGTGGGCCACAGCTGGATTTCATTCTCTTGGCAAAGGCAGGTCAATTTAATGAGAGACACTGCCTTGAGAGGGAGCTGGGGCTTAGTTTTCAATCTACCACAAATTCATTGTGTGGCCATGGGCCAGCTACTCCACCCTCTCTGGGCCTCGATTTCTCCATCTGTTTAATTGGTTGTGTTAGACGGCTTTCTGTCACTGACAAAATCCCTGAGACAAACAATTTAAAAGAAGGCAAAGCTTATTTGTGCTCTATTTATTGGTTGGCTCTGTTGCTTTGGGCTTGTGGCAAGGCAGATCCTCATGGTGTGAACACATTGGGGAGCAATGCTGTTTACTTTGTGGGAGTCAGAAAACAAAGAGAGGAAGTGGAGGAGGAGCTGGGGTCCCAATATCCCCTTTAAGGCCATGCCCCCAGCGATCTAACTTCCTCCCACTGGGCCCCATCTCCTAAAGGTTCTACCACCTCCCATTACGGCCACAGGCCTTCAGCACATGGGCCTTTGGGGCAGAGTCAAGATCCCATTGGTAGCAGACATGCTGTAATTTTTGACATCTTGCTTTTTGTTCTGTGCCCGTTCTAGATTGAATGCTCCAGTATTTCTGACTACTCAGAGAAGATCGTTAAGGCCAACCACTTGGACAACAGTAAGATGCACCTCTGAGTAATTTTCTGTGGGTGGTGGGGGAACACTGGCACAGACAATCATAAGAGAGGAGCATACAGAGCACTTGGCCTTGGGAGGCGGAACCCCTGCTGAGACCCCTGCTAGAGGACTGTGTCCCTGGGGTGCAGAGGTCCACTACTCACACTATGCCAGTCAGGTGACATTTGTCCCATTGCAGCTTTTAGCAAGCCCTGCCTGTGGCTGGACCCTCAGTTTCTACTCCCTCTGCTTGGCCCCTGCTGGAGGCAACCTGTTGAGTTCTGCAGGATTGCAGGAACTACTTCCTCTTCCACGATCCCCAGTCCTCCTCTCCCCATCACCCAGCAGGTGCTTCCTGCCAGACCCACTGCCCTCAGGCCCTGTTGATGATGGGTTGTCCTGGAAACTAGGTTGCTTTGGGGATTGGGACCTTCTTCAAGCTAGAGTCTGATCACAAAGACAGGTGCATCTCCTTCCCTTCCTCCACTCACTCCTTTCCTATGGATCTTGAACTCTCAGCCCCTTCTCTCTCCATCGTTAAGACAGGTTGCAGTCACCGGACCATGTGCTCAGTGCAGGCATTAAGGGATGCACTTGACATTATGGGATGTCATGCTGGGTGCTGGGGCTGCAGTGAGGCCAGGAGCTCAGTATGTAGTGAGGAGAGGAGCAGGTTGACCAGAAGTTGCAATATCACAGAGTGAGTTGGATCAGAGGCATGGCCGGCAGAGGCAGTGGTACTAAGGCAGCTGGAAGCAGTGGTCTGGAGAGGGTTAAGTCCAAAAGGCAGAGCTCCCAAGCAGAGTTCCAAGTGTGGACAGGGTGGTGCTGGGAGGGAAAGACACCCCAAGAGAAGTTTGGGTTGGGGAGGCTGTCAGCAGGCCTGGGAGGCAGGGAGGCTGGAACAGGAGGCTAAGGCTGAAAGCAGGGCTCCCATTCTCTTGGTTATTCTAAGGGAGCTTGGGCTCCCACATGCAGGCTCTGCTGAGGTTCGGGCTCTGAGGAGTCAGTCTGCATTCTTGCCTGTACTGAGAGACCTTCTGTTCACTGGATAGAGCCTGTCCATGCTCCTGCTGTCCGCCAGAACTCTCTGCTCCCCTGCAGTGTCCCTGTAGCCCAGACGCCCTGTGGGTCTGGCCTGAGACACCAAGCACAATGGTGGCCTCAGCCCTGCCACCTGTCCTGTTTGCTGCTTGATCCACTTGCCATAGACTTCCCCAAAGGACAGGAACATTACTCATTCAACAAACTTCTGTGTATGCCACCCCCTGGGGCTAAAGTAAGAAACAAAATGCATGAAGTCCCTGACCTCATGGAGTTTACATCCAGTGGGGAGTGACTTAAGGATACTAAATAAAGCAGTGAACAGACAAAGAAAATACTAGATGGTGGTGATAAGTGCTCTTCTGACCACAGAAGTACGGTGTTAGGGTAGCAAGGGACCAGGTAGCTACATTAGGTTATAGATGCTAAGAGTTCACATTTAAGTTCAAATTTGAATAATACAAAGGAGTCAGGCTGACCAAGTGTCTTAGTCTGTTTTCCATTGATGTTAGAGAATCCCTGAAACTGGGTAATTGATAAAGGAAAGAAATTTGTTTGGGCTCACAGTTCTGGAGGTCAGGAAGTCCAAGCCTGGGCAGTTGTATATGGTGGAGGCTTTGTGCTGTGTCAACTCATGGTGGAACATTGGAGGTCAAGTGAGTATGTGCAGAGAGGCCACGTGGCAAGAGAGGATGCAAAAGAAGCAAGGAACCCAGCACCTGTATTCACAATAACCAACCCCTCCCTCAAGCAAAATGAGTCCATTCACAAAGGTTCAGCTCCCAGGACCCAGACCCCTCCCACCAGGGCCACCTGCCAACCCTGCTACAGCCACGCTGAAACCACAGCACCAAGTTCAGAGAAAGAGAGCCCCAGTCAACAATTACAGCCAGTACAAAGGACTGCGGGCAGGACTGAGCTCGACATGCCCAGGCACAGGCAGATGGTCTGTGCTCAGAGCATGGTCAGCAAAGGAATCAGAGGCAGAGGCAGGGTCCAGGCCACCAGGAAAGCAACTGGGTCCAGATGGAGGCAGCTGGTGATGGGAAGCCCCTGGTTGTTTGTTTCTGTTTGCTGCGTGGAGAATAAGACAGTCACTGGCAGAGAGGAAGGGGAGGGGAGGGAGCCCAGAAGGGCTGCAACAGTCTTTGGAGGGAGGAAGGAGGCAGACTTGCTGGGGTGGCAAGGACTACAGGAATGGGCAGAGCTACCCAGTGGGCCAGGCCTTGGCTTTGTGTGGTTCTTCTTTGCCATGCTCTCTAGTCTGCATGGAGCAGAAGACTGCCTGAGCCAGGGCTTTGATGGGAAGACATGACACAGAGAGGTAGGAGCCAGAAATTGACAATGATCATTGATGATGCAATCAATATTACTAGGATTTTCATTTCTATCACGAACTACCCAAGACAAGGTGCTTACAAAAGGAAGAGACCTATTTAGCTTACAGTTTGTGGGGCTCAAAAGAGCATAGTGTAGGTTCTGTAATGAGGATCACTCCTTGTGTCACTTAATGGCAGCTAACAAATGGCAGGAGCACATGTCACATCTCTATCCAGGAAGCAGAGAGAGAGAGGATGGGAAGGGCCGGACTTTCTCCTGTTCTGACAGCCATCTTTCGAGAACTCTGGGGTCATATGGAAAATACTCAACTATCCCAGTGACCCGGCCCCACCTCTTGCAGGTTTCATTGCCTTCCAATAGCGTCACCCTGTGGATTGAGCCTTTAACAATTGGACCTCTGGGGAGACAACATTTTCAAACCATATCAGAAAATAAGCCGGGCAAGGAAGGAAATGAGGCAGTGATGGGAAGGTGGTAGGAGACAGGGGAAAGGGCTGGGCCCCCAATAGCTGTAGAGGTCATGAGTAATGCCCTCGACTTGAGCAAGGAAATATTGCTCAGATGCCCTTGACCTCTGGTTTGGTGACCATCATCTCTTGGCTCACTCAGCAGCGATAGGTCCCTTCTGTACTCCTCAGAGAAGTGCTTGACCTTGGCAGGGGCACGGAAGGGGAACCTCTCAATCTACCTCTTTAAGATGGAAGAAGAGAACCACTGATTCTTTCTGTGCAAGAGTAACATGGCTGGCCACCACAAGCCTCCATCCAGTGTCTTCTCCAGATCCCTGAAGTAGGGCAAGTGGTGTCCCTATTTAATAGGTGTGGAACTGAGGCCAGGAGAGGCATGTGACTGAGTGGGGACCAGAACTTGATCTTGGCTCTTGTTCCTGGCCCCTTTCCTAACATGCATCTGTGTGAATGTGGAAACCTTCAAGTGCTGAAATCCTGAGACCCTTGGTGTGGGGACGGGGCATAGACAGATGCAGAATCAGGGGTACTGACTCCCATCTCCCAGCCCCATGGGCTTTCTACAGAACCCCCAGACTGCTCCCTTGTTGAGTCTCCTTGTGTGGTAATTCCTGACCTCCAAGGGTCTTCCCAGTCCCCTTTCCTCTTCTTCTATCTCTCTGTGGCTCACCCCCAAATACCCTGGAAACCCGGATTTCCCTCCTGGCTCACAGAGGGCTGCTGCTGCTCTTCTTGCATTGCAACCATTCCTAGCAGAGTGGAGGGAAAGCTTGGGGTGGGGGGGCGTGGAGGGTAGCACCCACTGAGAAAGCCTCATTGTTATTCCCAGGGAGGTCTGTTTGGTCTGCAAGCCAGACCTCATTGGTTCTCTGTGGTTCTCTCCTTCAGGACCCTCCACCTCTCCTGCTTCCTGCTGTTGTCATTCCCTCTATCTTTATGTCTCTTCTCTTTCCCTTTTCTTCCTTTTTCTCATCCCTCTTTTAACCTTTGAAACAGAAAAGTGGGGAATAGAGCAGTGTTTTCTCTGGTCCACATGAGAGTAAGTTGTCAACATGACACCCCCTCATTCCTGAATACTGTCAGTGCCTATGTCCGCCCAACGAGGACATTTTTCTAGAGCCACAGTGCAGCCCTCCAAGTCAGAGGCTTGACGTGAGTACACCATCATACCTAAGTTCAGATTCTATCCACGTTTTTGCCAATTGTCACAATAGTATCATTTAGAACAAAATGGTTCTCTTCAGAATGACATGTTGCATCTAGCATTGTGACTGGTTCCCTTCCAGCTGGGCCAGTCAGACTTTCCTCTTCTTGCATCTCATGGGATGTTCCTCGGTTTGTTGATGAGTCTTCTTCCTGATAACACTGGTTCCCATCCTCCCCATGGATGTGACCTGCCAGGCTCCTCCATGGCAAAGTTGCTTTGTTCATCTCTGAAATTTGTAGGGCTTCCTAGGAGAGGTGCTTAAAACCATGCAAACATTTGATCCCTCATCAAATTTCTAACTGTCTGTCTATCTATCTATCTATCTATCTATCTATCTATCTATCTATCTATCATCTATATCTACCTATCCATCTGTTATCCATCTTTTTCTTTCATTTCACTGTAGACTCCTATTTTATTTAATGGGTTCTACCTGTTATCAGTATTACTTTTGATACTCAAATCATCCCTGATTGGGGCACTGGGAGCCCCTTTAAGCTGGCTTCTGTGTTCTTTTGAAATATCTGTTTCTCTTCTTTCCTTCTCTCTCTATCTCTCTTTCTTTTAGCAGTACTGGGGTTTGAACTCAGGGCCTCACGCTTGCTAGGCAGGTGCTTCACCACTTGAGCCCGACTCCAGCTCTGTGCCTGGTTCTCTTTTTTCTTGAACTTTCTTACTTTCTGGAGTCAGACATTCCAGGCTCATTTTGTGCTTTGGAATACCTGTGTTTTGGAATCGGCCAGTTCCCTGGCTTCACTGAGTGGACAATGCCATTTATAAACTAAGCCTGGGACGAGGGATATGTGTTGGTTTTGGGAGTCAACATCCCCAGGCTGTTTCACGGCTGAAGTGTGTGTGTGTGCCAGAACATTTTCACAACTCTCATTTCTACATCTGTCTGTAAATGTTGTCAAGAAGGAGCATGCATGGCACCTCTGCTTC